TTGAGATGACTTCTTTGACCTCGCTGTCTCGAAAGATTTCGAGAGATCGGGTGGAAGAATGAGCGGGTCGTGGAGTGAGGTCTGCTTGATCATGGATATGTTGGGCTCGCTCGGTGCATACGACAGGATGCTGTCACTCCAGTCATCGTCACTCGGCAACATACTGACCATGTCCTTGATGTCCTGATCAAAGTCTCTCATGCTCTCAGGAAGAACCTCGATGCTGCCCCAGTCAACCAAATTGGGAATCTCAGATTCATCCAGGTAAGGATTCACTGGCATCGTATCTGGAACTGATGCGTGCCAAAACCAGATGTGTAGACCCAGTAGGCATCGCGCGCATTCCTTTCTGTCTTTATTCTGAGATGCCTCTAACAGTCGTTCCAGCAACTCGGACAGGTTGAAGCTCGGCTTCACGTCGTAGCACTCCTTCTTGGCAATCATTGGTTCGGGCTGATCAGATGGTGCCTTCGAGTGTTGCGTCTCATGATGTCGGTCTTTTCTGTCTTCTCATCTGGTGGTGCTGATGGTTCAGGCTCTGCCGCATGTTCTGGCTCGAGAGGTACTTCGTGAAGAGGTACAACAGCAGGCTCTTGTGGATCGGGAGGTTCCACTGCCTCGATTGCTGCAGCCTCATCATCAGAGTCGTGAGGAGGTGGAGCCAGAACATGGGCCGCTGGCTGCGGTGCGTCTCGCGCCTTTGAGCCAGCCATCTCACACTGCCCCTGTATCCGAGTATGGGGTGCATCTGTCTTGCTGCCCAGCTTGCATCTGGGACAAGACCAGAAAGCCGCGCTCGTGTGCATGATCCTGTGAGTATTGTAGTAGATCTCGTCAACATCCGTATAGTTCACACCAATGACCTTCGCGATTTCTCTCCCAGCTGCGTCGCATAGCATCTTTGGATATACTGCAGCCTTGGCTGTCCGGTGAACTCCTGCTGACTGTCCGACAAGCTGTCCATGAGGTACTGTGCATCTGCAATGACGAGAGAGTCCTCGCAGGCTGAAAGTGCTGAGGTACTTAGTTCTCTTCCTGATAGGTTCTCCATCATCATTGACTGCACCGAATGCACAGTGATCTCCAAGGTGCTGACGAAGTCAATTGTCGATCAGGCTAGTGAGAACTGATCTGGTCCAGATGTCGCTCGTGGCTGGATTCTCCACAACGGCGTGCTCACCTCGACCTAGACCCGCCTGCATATCCAGTACACACCACTGCAAGGTGGGGTGTTGTGCATCTCGTTCTGCTTGGCATTTGTCAGCATCACCCTTTGATTCCTGTGACCATGGAGTGCATTTGGGAGCCCACCATGTCACGCCAATGCCGAAAGATTCACGAAGTTCGGATAGGATAGCCTGATGATGAGGATCTGCGAAATTCCATCCATATCTGTAGTCAACTGGAAACGCCACCAGGAGTCCCAGACGTGAACATCTCAATGACATCCTTCCGCTACCTGACATGCGCTCTTGGAAATGAATCTTGAAACCATGCATGTGAGCCATCCAGTTATTCGCACTGCTCGGCGTAATGACTGGTAACTGATTTGACTGATAGAACTCCTCGGGAAGAGCCAGATATTTCTTCTCAAGAATATTGATGTCCTCTGCGTCGCATGAGTTCGGCCACAAATTCTTGCCAGTCCACCTGTCTCCTGAGAACGATGCCCAACGTCTGAAGAACTGTGATGTGGCCCTCGCTGATGTCGATATTGTTGATATTGCTGTTCCGTTGTTCTTCTCCGTATTCCGAGACGACCCTCGTGATTTTCGTTGTGGTTCTTGTCTAAGTTGATGTGATATACCTGGCAATCTCGGTCTTATTCTACTTTCTGAGGTACTGTTGTATGAATTTGCATCGTCATCATGAGAAGCCGACGTCGTCGCACGGGTAGTGTTCGGGAACGCTACTTCTGGTGGTTGCTGTCCATCCTGAACCAATAGAGATGTCCGTGCGTGGGGCTTCGCTGTCATGTTCGTGTCCATGATGAAGTCCGTGTAGTTCTTTACTGCATTGCGGAGTAGCGTAGCTTCTTCACGTGTGTTGGCCGATGGATCTTCAATCGGCAACAAGTAATGTCCAGAGTCCGTGTACATAACTCTAAAGAATGAGGTCGGCGCAACCTTCTTGCCCATGGCTCCCAGGTGATTGATCACCAGAACTCCGTCCTTGTTGGGCAAAATGTTGGCATAGAAGGACCCGGCGTGCTCGATGATGGACTCGTTCGGCAACAGACACGGGCACCTGGAACCAGATCCACCCAGAAGATCCATTGAGAATGAGCTTCGAGGCAATGCCTTTAAATCCAGTGGAATGGTGCCAAGTCCGAGCGATGGGCTCGGAGTGCCGTCTATGCCAGACAACTTGGAGAAGGACTGCTTCAGCGAGATGTTTTGTCCTTTTGGCCAAAGTAGCCGACTGCAAATCTCTCTGACCGTCTCCGTGCCTCCGAGTCCTTTAGCAGCTCCTGGGTCCACGATGAGTCCGAGTCGAGGTACACCATTGTACACTAGTCATGAGGGCTTGACTTTCATCCTGGGGCTGAGCGTGCAGATTGACGGCAAACAAGTTGGCACGTGGTTGAATAACTTCTGATAGAGATCCTTTTCCAAGTTTGGCTGACCTCTCGCTTCCCAGGGAATCGTTCAGATCTGAACCCACGACCGTCGGACGTACAGGTCGCTCAGGAAGTTGATGCGCAGAGCTGAGGCCAGTAACCGGTGACCTGATATTGCTAGTGCTGTTGCTGGAGATGATGTCGTCCGATGTCTTGGCCAAATCTGAGAAGCTCACCGTCCTGCCTGCAGGTCGTTCGTCACGATGTTGATCCGATGCTCGTGGTTCTTCTCGATCTGAGACCAAGCTCCACGAACCTGCAGATGGGCTATTCTCCGAGATGGTGTGCTGCTTCTCAGTGTACCAAGGGGGGTGATGTCCTAGACCGTCACGTTATCGTTGCCATCTGGGAGCTCCAACAAGAGGTCTTCCGTTCTTGCCTTTTCCACGTCCTTTTGTCCAGAAACGCTCCTGATCCTCGATGTCGCCAGGATGCTCCTCGAAGTCCTGTGCTGTCCACTGTTTGTGGTCCGTTGGATATTTTCCTGACGAAGTAGACGTTTCCGCAACATATTGATGATGTTCTCCGCTTTCTTCATAACGACTGAAGCCAGTGTTGTGCGTCTCAGCGTCGCCAGTTCCATGACCTCCTTTCGGCTTAGCAGGGCAGTCTGAGTCTTTGTGCCACTTTGATCCGCAGATGTTGCAACCAGAATTGTGCTGAGTTTTGTCTCTGCCCCACTTTCCGCCTTTTCCGCCGTAGTGTGCGTCGTGGTTGGAGGTGCTCTTGCCTTTGCCTTTGCGAGTCTTGCCCGTGTTGTTCTTGCTGGGGCTGCGGCCTCGTCCTTTGCCTTTCTTGCCTTTGCCTTTGCCTTTACGCCGTCCTCGGAAACGCCACTTCGGTCGGAAACCGTTCATCTGGTACGCTTCGGCAAGGTCAAGTTCGTCTAGATATGCCTCGATCTCCTCCTGCTCATACCATGTCCAGTAGCTGTCGTAGGCGCCGTACGCCCAGTCGCCTGACTCCGTGTAGAACTCTCTATAGTGAAGGTCGGTCTCTTCGTCATACACGAAGTCTACCTCTGAGTCCTCACAGTCGTCGTCCATGTAGTATGTCAGCTGATAGTTCTGATCGTCCAGCTCCATGTCAAATTCTTCCGTGTAGTGAGAATGTTGATGATGTGTATGACCGGCTGCCATCTCGTGCTTGGCGATCCGACTCAACATGCTGTAGATCTCGTTGAACTTGTCAAGGTCGCCGCCGAAGTGTAGCTTGATGTCCTCGATCCTGCGAGCCGGCAGGCCGCTCCACTTGAAGAGAAGATGTGTCAGCCCAGTCAGGCTAATGCTAAGTTGTGCTCGAGACTCCGCCTCCTGATACCGTTGCTTGAAGTTCATGAGGTAGTCCTGCAATGATGACGTGCCTCTGCGTGTGTCATAGAATTTGTCGAGCAGCTCGCCCTGACGGTCCTGATCGTGAATCTCGAAGCACTCCGTCAGCTTCTTGAGAAGGTGTCCGATGCCCGACAGGTCGGCCTCCTGCACGATGTTGCCGTCTGCGTCCTCCTGCTGCTCTTGCTTGGCCAGAGCCAGTGCTCCATCGCCAGTGTGGACCACGCCATTCCTAGTGATCCGTAGTCCCATTGCCACTTCGAAAGCTTTGTCCAGGAGTCTGCTCGCCACCAGCGGACCAGCCTCTTCTTCTTGAACTGGTGTGATCCGCTACCACAGATGGAGACGCTCCTGGAACTGTTTGAAGCTATAGTCTGGCAGTCCCGGCTTCCAGCCGGGTGGAACATATCTCGTGAACTCGGGAAGCGTGCTCGGGAGCTTCCAGTCCTGACCACCAGCCGCCATCGTGAAGTCGTTGTGGAAATAGAAGGAGTCGTGACCCACAAAGTCCTGGTGGATCACGAAGGGTGAAAATGAAAGCCAATTGAGAATATACACGAAGATAATCTTGATTATCAGTGGCACGGTGATGATGTCCATGCGATGGCTGTGATTCACCGAGGTGAAGCAGCGCGCCTGGCGGCGCGGGGGTGGCAGCAGATGTGGCGCCGCGATGCCCAGGCGAGATGGGCAGGACGGAAGCCTGGAGCCGGACTCCAGGCTCCGCTACCAAACTGAAATGTTTAGTTTGTGAACGCGCGAAACCCGCTCCTGAAGCCAAAGCGTTTCAGTACGGAAAACCTTGCTGTCTATCCATCACACTGAAATGCTGCTACTGCATCTGAAAACACATTGTTAGCAAATATACACCTGCAATCTCAGTGTAGGAGGGAGGAGGGAGGAGGGAAGAGGGAGGAGGGAGGAGGGAGGAGGGGGGAGGAGGAAGAGGAGGAGGAGGAGGAGGAGGAGGAGGAGAGGTGTGTAAGGAGGGGCACGGGCACACCAGCGGTCCGCTTGCTCGCCCAACCCTCGGTCCGGCCCAGCCCCAGGCGGGCACAATGAAAGACCGCTTCGAAGCGGAGGGCTGGCAGTGGAAGCTTCCCGCCACCAGCAGCCCCACAGTCGCAGGCTGGCGCCTTTGTTTCCTTAATGCTGTTTTTCTTATTGCTTGTGTTGACGCTGGGCCTGTTGTAGGTTGTGGTTGTTCGCTCCAGAAGTTTTGCTGCCGTTGCTCAATTCCCCACGGTGCGACCCACGGACATCATTTCGACGCATTTCTTGGTAAGACCAAGCATTGAAATGTGAGTAAGCACGCGTGCCGTGGGTGCCAGGCTCCTCAAAGTTACTAGCTAGGTAATGACGCGACGTCAGATGCCTGGTTCAACGCCGCATCCCACTTTGGTCATCGTGCTCGGCGTCCCCCCTCCTGCTGCCTCGTGCTCCCTCCTGGACCCCATCGCCCGTCTTCCTTGCCCCCCTCTTGCTCATCCCCTCCCCCTCTCTTCCCTCTCATCTCCCCTCGGTGACGCGCCATGTCTGTTGACTATGTCGCAAAGCCACGGGATACTCACGCCATGTTGCAAACGTGTCAAACCATTTAGCGGTCCCCGGATATTGGGAGTGGCCCCCGACGATCTCGCGATTGCGAAATGTCCACGAAACGGTGCGTGCCGAGCATGGCGCCGAAGGGTTGAGCGGCGAAGCGAGCGCGGGCGTTCAAGGTTGCACGCTGCCAGTCGCCTAGAATCTGCCGACCTGCGCTACGGTGGGGGTGCAGGTGAAGGACTGTGCCCAGGAGGCCTCCGTCCCTGGGAGGTTCCTTATCTAATGAGGGCGGCGGCGATATCTATGGCCGATCCACGGGTGGAGTCCTCCCAGCTTCCAGGCCCTGGATGCCTTATCCAACAGCTCCTGATCCAACGCCCTCACCGTGGCTGCGGCGCTGGGGAGCGTGCTGGCGAGCCTTAGCTGGGATTGCGTTCCTGGGCCGCCTGCGCGTGCGGCTGCGGCCGCTGCTGGCCCCACACGGCCGCCAGTGCCGCAGCCCGGTACGGCGAGCATGCGGCCTGTCGGCGTCGCGGGCGCTGCGGCGGAGACGGACTCGGGGCAGGTGGCCATCGGCGTTTGGCCGCCCAGCGTCGCCGCCTTGCTAGCGGCGGCTGTCTTCGCCGACTGGGCGGAGGCCGAGCAGCGCGGGCGAGCCGCCATGGTGCGGCGCGCGGCAACTATGGTGATGCCGCTGATGATTCGATGCTTGCGAATATGAGCTCCTTAGTTGTGGTGTCTACAGCAAAACTCCTTCACCGCATCCGAAAGCCGCGATCGGTCAAGGATCGAGCGATCCACGGGGTGGCGGCAGCCAGCGACGCGCACTTGCCGCAGCCCTCGCTCTCCCTCCCCTCGCGAGAAGCGTCGAGGGAGGCGCAGGCCTCGGGCCGAGATCCCAGGCCGGCGCGCTCGAGGTCTGAGCCTGCCGCTTGCGGCTCCAGGCCCATCGCCCAATCGACCGACCAGTTTTCCTCCCATAGCATCACAATTCGGGTCTTGTCGCTTTCCCACACGGGCGTCCATCGCCCAGAGTTGCTTTCCTGAGGCAGCCCACCGTGCCACCCTCCAGTCAGCCCGACTGCACGCCGAGCTTGCCCAGAAGCGCGCTCCCGCGTTATCATCGTCTCGACCCCTGGACGAGACTCCTGAGCCACGAGCCCTCCTCCCCCCCTGCCACCACCGAGGCACGCCATTCGCGGGGCCCCGCTCGAGCCTCAAAGCCCTCCTTCCCCCACCGTGCCCGCTTCTCCGGCCCAGCTCAAGCTCGAGCTCGAGCTCATGCGCACCGAGAGGGCCCCTGGCCCCGTGCGCGGGCTGGTAATGGCCATGCCTCGCGTGCCGGCGGGCGGGTGCGGAAGCTTCCGCGCGTCTCTTTCCCCCCGTCCTCCTTCCATCCTCCGCATCCTCCCCCGGTTCCTCACCCTCGTCGTCCTCTTCGCCTTCGTCCCCGCCCTCGCGCAAGCGCGGAGGTGGCAGCGCTGCCGTGCTGCAGGGGGACAGTCGGAGCAGCTCCTGCCCTGTTCTGCCGGCCCTGGCGGGCCCGAAATCGCCCCAGGCGGCGCCGGGTCTGGCGTCGACGAAGGGGGGAGACGACGAGGGGGGAGACAAAGGCGGTCGAAAGGTGTGCGATGAGGGCGAGAACGAAGAGATGGAGGAGGACGAAGGCGAGGGAGGAGACGAGGAGGACCCGAGGGGGATGGAGGCTGAGGAGGAGGAGGAGGAGGAGGAGGAGGAGGAGGAGGAGGAGCAGGAGGAGCAGGAGGAGCAGGAGGAGGGAGGAGGGAGGAGGATCTATTGAGCAGGAGGAGGAGGAGGAGGAGAGGAGCAGCAGGAGGAGGTGAGGAGGAGGAGGAGGAGGAGGAGGGAGGGAGGAGGAGGAGGAGGAGGAGGAGGCGGAGGAAGGAGGAGGAGGAGGATGGAGGAGGAAGAGGAGAAGGAGGAGGAGCAGGAGGAGGAGGAGGAGCAGGAGGAGGAGGAGGAGCAGCAGGAGGAGGAGGAGAAGGAGGAGGAGGAGGAGGGGGAGGTCGAGGCGGAGAGCGAGGAAGGGCAGCAGGGCCAGAAGAAGGGTTCAGGTGGATGCGAAAGCTTGAGGATGATGAGGGACCTTGATGAGGAGGGGATGGATCTGAGGAAGAGGGGGACGAAGACGAGGAGAACGCGGACGATGAGTAGGTGGAGGACGTGGAGGACAAGCAGATGGGCGGAGAGAAGGAGGGTGAGCTTGGAGGGCTAGAAGGCGGATTAGGATCAGGAGGAGGGGGAGGGGAAAGGAAGAGGATGACGACGACGACGATGACGACGTGGAGGGGTAGGGGGTAGGATAATGAGGATGAGCAGGAGCAGGGAGAGAGGAGGAAAGCGGCCGAACTATTTTGTTTCGCCACGCAAGCTGCCCACACTCAACAAAGGCAGCTGTCGGGCAGACAGCGCCTCTGTCGAAATTGCACCGCTTGCGTTCTCGCTGACACTGGGCCACGGTCGAATCAGAGAGGGGGTGCAGTGGCTTGGGGCCAGGGACACCTCTAACAACCTCCTAACGTTATCCGTCTCATCGTCGCAGAGGTTCACTTCCGCTGACGCTCGGCACTCCACCACCGTGCCCGCGTTCTCTTCGTGTCTTCCAGCCCGCGGTCCCCGCATCCTTTTTCACCCGGCTTATTGTTCCTCGGATCGTCCCATTGGTCGCCCCTCGCGGCTCTCCTTCGCGCAGATCTCTTCTCCGCCTTCTTCATGTGATGGGCCTGTTTTCCACCACCACCACCATAAGTTGGAGGGGGGAAGGAGGAGGAGGAGGAGGAGGAGGAGGAGGAGGAGGAGGAGGACCCCCTCCCCCTCCAACTTATGGTAGTGGTCAGGCGCAGAGGTTGGTTATGTAAAGCCGGCGCCTTCTAAGAAGCAGCCTCCTTCTAAGAAGCCTCCCCCCCTCCCCCTACCCCCCTGCGCGCGCCGCTACTGATTGCCAATTATATTTCTTTTCCTGCTTCCCGTGCGTCTTCACGTCGGGCCATAGCTCCGACGTCGGGGACCTCCTACCGCTCGTCCACAGAGTTCTCCGCAGCCGTCACCGTCTGTCCTCCTGCCTGGCGCGCAAAGCCAGCGCGGCCGTGCAGGCCTGACCCGCCTGCGCGAGCACCGGGTCCAGAGCTGGCTCGAGCTGCCCGCAGAGAACCAACGGCATGCACAAAGTTTCGGGGCTCCGCGCGGCTTTGCATCGGCGCTGGGGCCCCCTGTCGGCGCTGGAGGCGCCGCCCCCTGGCGCGCGAGGGGGGGTCAGGGCAGGTGCAAGACATCCGCGCGGACCGCCAACAGTTTATGTTTATGTCGTGCTCCTGCCTCTAGCTAGCTGCTGCCGCAGATCGTCCAGCACGCCGGCCGCCATCAGCCGGAGGAGCTGCTCCTTCACGTCCTCGTCGCGGCAGCCATGGGGGCGGCGACGGGTCGCCCTGACCTGCCTCGCGCCCAAGCGGAGCAGCTGCGCTTGCTCATGCCCGCTGTGCCTGTACTGCCGCCTCCACCAGCAGCCCAACTGGTGGGCCCATCCGTGACGCCACCCCGGCGCGTGCGCCGTTTCGAAGTACGTGCGCCGATCGACCAGACCGCTTGGGCGCAAACGGAGGGGGAAACGAGCAGGTGGGAGGAGAGGGAGAGATGATGTAGGAGAGAGGAGGGTGGCGGAGGAGGAGTTGGAGGAGGAGGAAGCGGAGGAACTGGAGGAACTGGAGGAACTGGAGGAGGACGACGATGAGGAGGATGAGGAGGAGGAGAAGGAGGAGGACGACGACGAAAACCTGACAGACCAGTACCCGCTTCAGAATGTGACATGTTCAGTGATAGGAGGAGGAGGATGGTGATGATGTTGAAGAAGAAGAAGAGGGGGAGGTGGAGGATGATGATGATGATGGTGGGGGGAGGAGGAGGAGGAAGAAGAGAAACATATGGTGGAGGATCAGGGAGGAGGGAGGATGGAGGAGGAAACGGAGGAGGAGGAGGCGGACCAGTGTAAACCCAAGAGTCACCAACGATATTGGGATAAACCCTCCCTCCAAACTCCCTCTTCACTGGCCCCCTACTGCCTCTTTGGAAGACAACCGTGAAGCATGCCCAAACATTGTTCTCGGGATTGCAACGCCACGGATCAAACTGACTGTTGCCTCTCGACAATCCTGAATCGCGCCAGAACGCCATTCCTGGGACTTCAACACAGCGCATCAACATAACTGTTGCACCCGTGTTGAATCCTTTCAAAACACAATTTCTGGCACGTCGATGATGGGAATCCGCGAAACTCTTGCAGTTGTTTAACCGAATGTGCGCAGCTCTGAAGCGAGAGCCATATTTTGAAAAGGAGCCGCCCTCAATCCGTGAAGCCCTTGCATTTTGAGATAAAAGCGAATGTGCGACGTGTTAAGGCGAGAACCGCATTTTGAAAACGACCCGCCCTCAATCCGCGAAGCTCTTGCACATTCCCCCCCCCCCCCCCCAGAAAAAACGAATGTGCGCCGTGCTAAGGCGATAACCACAGTTTGAAAACGACCCGTCCTGAATCCGCGAAGCTCTTGCACATGTTTTTTTTTTATATATAAAGTAACAATAATAATAAGCAAAAACGAAAGTGCGCCGCGCTAAGGCGAGAGCCACATTTTGAAAACGACCCGCCCTCAATCCGTGAAGCTCTTGCAACTTTTGATAAGCGAATGTACGCCGCGCCAAATCGAGAGCCACATTTTGAACACCCCCCGCCCTCAGTCACTGAAGCTCTTGCCAGCTTCTACTAAGCTTCAGAGTCAAAACATGGTGAGAAAGTCTCAGGCGAAACGCCCGGCCCGCCCTGAAAGCTGGCCTCGGGATGCGACAGGGATTAGTTATTGACAAGGAAAACGAATTGGGAAAGGAGAAGGAGGAGGTGGAACAAGACGAGGAGGAGGAGGAGGCGGAGTCGGAGGAGAAGGAGGACGGAGGATAATGAGGAGAAGGAGGACGAAAAGGAATGGCGACGGTGGTGATGCTGATGGTGGTGATGACGGTGATGATTGTGATTATGAGGATGATGATGAAGATGATGATGATGTTGCTGATGATGATGACGAAGCTGATGAGGCGGGGGAGGAGGATGAGGAGGAGAATGAGGAGGATGAGGATGATGAGGAGATGGTGGAGGAGGATGATATACAGGAGGATTGGGAGGTGGAGGATGGAGGGAGGAAGGAAGATGAGCATGATGATGATGATGATGATGATGATGATGATGATGATGATGATGGTGATGATTATGATGCTGCTGATGAGGAGGAGGAGAAGGAGGAGGAGGAGGAGGAGGAGGAGGGGGAGGTGGAGGAGGAGGAGGAGGAGCAGGAGGGATGATGCTGATGATGATGTTCAGGAGGAGGAGGCGGGGCAGGATGAAGTGGATGAGGAGGGGGGGAGGACAAGCTAGCTGCGCTCTCGTCCTATCTGACGTCCTACCCCTCCCTCCCATCCCTTACCATGGCGTAGATCTCCACTCGATTCGCACTATCGGATGTCGCAGCGTGGCGTAGCATCGCATGGCACAGCATGGTGTTGAAGATTAACGCGTAGCAGGACATACCATGGCGTAGCGACGCCCCAAAGTGGGAAGTGGGGGTTGGGCTTCTGCGGCGCCCAAAAAACGAATCGACACCGAATGTGTAATCACTTCCGATGGTTTCTTCGGGGGGGGGCATGTTTTAGATGTTGGGGCATATTTGGAAGGACCGAACAAACCATGCCGTGGCATGGCACCGGAAATAATGACGCCAGCGCTACAGCGGGAGCACGATTCGGAACGAGCGGAAGCGCGGAAAAATGAGGCCGGCGCTGCAGCGGGAGCACGATTGCGGTTGCGATTGCGCGCGCGCGGGCGAGGTGAGATGTGTCGCCCAGTTGCGGTTGCGGTTGCGGTTGCGCGGGTGGGTTGGAATGTGACGCCCTGTTGCGGTTGCGGTTGCGGTTGCACGGGCGAGGTGAAGTGTCTCGCCAAGTTGCGGTTGCGGTTGCGCGGAAGGGCGATTGCGCTGGTTGCGGTTGCGG